AGTAACATTTATGCACGTTTTCTATATTGATTAACGTAATTACTGTACAACATTTATATCAATTTAAATTATGCTCACAATGATAATTAATTTCGCAAATTAAAAACAAATAAAAAAATTTGATATAAAATTTTTGGCATTTTACCAATTTACATTGAACTTTGTCCTTTTGGTATCAAATGTGTCCTAACTAATACCAGCTAGTTTATATTACTGATTTACAAAATGTATATAAAATAAAATATACAATTGAAACAGTATTTATTATAATTATTGTTATTTTTATTGACCGTGATTTAAATATGAAGAATGTGCTGTATAAGATTAGCTACCCATCCCCTACTTCCCCCTAAAATAAATGGGATTACAGTTTAACAACTTATACTTTAACATAAGTAAATGTTTTTTATGGTTATTGTTAATCCTATGGGACCCATATTATGGGTCTAATGCTAATCTATTCTTCAAGCATCACTCACATTGTGGGTAACGTATAGTCGTTAACCAACTCAATAGACTAATATTTTGCTATCATATCTAAAGTGCTCTAGTGCAATTCTAGTGTATTTGACATTTACAAGTATAATAATAACATTGTTATAATTTTTATTTAAGAATTCTTTAGTACAAAAATGTTATACCTATATAAAGTAAAACATTTTTAAACAGTTAATAAAATCACCATTAACTTATATTTTACAGTAAATATAATTTTAATTATTATTATATATAGCTTTATATACTATATTTTAAATAGTTATTAAAAATGAAATTACTAGTAGCATTGATGTGTGGATTGGTTTGTATTGTGAGCGCAGACTATAGTATAGAGGACTACAAAGCGGTCGCAAAGTCCCGAAACTTTACGGGTAGTGTAGTTGTAGTGACCGGTTCCTCGTCGGGCATCGGAGAGGGAATCGTTAAACTGTTTTCTATATTAGGGGCTAATGTTGTGGTCACCGGAAGGAAAGCACAGGACGTTCAACGAGTGGCCAAAGAGGTCCAAGAATTGTCACCACTAAAACTGAAGGTATATTTAATAAAAATTAAAATTTATTTAAAAAATAGATTATTTAACACAACAATCATTTTTTGACAGCCATTAGAAGTTGTGGGAGATTTGACCAAAACATCTGATGTAAACAATTTGATCGATTCTACGGTCAAAACGTTTGGCCGATTGGATGTATTGGTCAATAACGCCGGTATTGCGTTGTTTTCAAACATCACACAACCAGACATATTGTCGGTTTGGGATCAGATATATGCCGTCGATTTACGCGCTGTCGTAGAACTCATCCACCGATCGGTTCCACATCTGGAGAAAACTAACGGAACTATTATTGATATTTCAAGTTTGGCTTCACTCGCACCGGTATTTATTGTTTTGTGTACTTTTAATTCAAATATATTTCTATGATAACAAACATTGAGCAAATTTCTTAAATGTTAAGCAAATAAATTATCACATTGATTTAACTATATGAGCTTGAAATTAATATTTCGTTCATTTTTAGTTGCAAGATGCAATAGCCTATGGTGCGGCCAAAGCAGGTCTGGATATGTTGGGCAAAATATTAGCCCTGGAATTGGGGCCCAAAGGTATTCGTGTCAACACTATTAAGTAAGTATTGATATTAGGAATATTTTAAATATTATTATTATCATAAATATTATAGAATTACAATTAGTATAAATATTACTCAATTTTATTTGTCATTAAATCATTATAATTAAATTCAATAGTCCGGGTGGTATACATACCAGAGACCCACCGACTCCTATTGAAGTCCGCGTCTCTAAAGTGACGCCATTGGGAAGAGTGTGTCAACCCCTAGACATCGCCCGTGCGGTCGCATTCCTGGCCTCCACTGACGGCCAGTTTATTACCGGCGCTAATCTGGTAGTCGACGGCGGACTTGTATATAATATCGGTGCAATGAATATACTTTAAACTGACAATTAAACATTTTGTTTGCATAATTTAATTTGTATGTAATCTGTATAATAATAAAAAATTTAATTTATCACTTTATAGTATTATTAAAATATTTAACGTATGAAAAATTATTATTATATTTATAAACAAAACACAGGGGTAGCACTGCTGGATTGCAGCACAAATACAACAATTTGTATTTTGAATTGACCATCATATTTATCAACAATTTATTAATTTACTATAAGTCTACAATTAGGAATAAATTGACAGCATAATCCAAAATACTGAAATCAAATAAATTTGCAGCGTTGATAACTAAATATAAAAATATATAGTTAATTAACAATAAGCTAAATATTGTGCACACTTTTTTTCTAAAGCATGAAATTTATTAAATTGATTTTGCCAAATTAAACTATGCTAAAAATTAAAGTTGATCAATTTGGCATTTGTATTTAGTATTAAAAAAGACTTTAAAATTTACCTAAAATTTTTCATTTTTTAATAAGGCAAAAAATTTACATAGTGTTGATTTTGTGATTCCGCTTATAATAGTGATATTTAACGAATATTTCAATGAGCTAAATTGTAAAATTCTGTAACATATTAATTATTTGGTGAACGCAGGACTTTCTAAATATAACATGACTTGATTTTATATTGGTATATATCATAATAAATATTAAATATTATATATTGATAATTCAAGTGTATATTTCAACATCGTTTTTTAAAATAAAGTGTTGTATTGATATTAAATTAAGAAATAATAACCTTCATAGGTAGATAATATCTATTAGATAATGTATTTTGATAGTTCAAATATATTTCAAAATTGTTAGTTATAAGTTATAACTGAATTTTATTAATACATTTACAATTATTTGCACCACCACAATAATAGTGAACTATAACATCAAGTGCAATTATAGTATTTCTGACATTAATTAATCTAATAAACATTGTTAGATTAATATTTTAGTGCACATTTTTTACCTATATAATGTGGAAAATTTTTAAACAAATAATAAGATCATTACTAACTTTATATTTAGAATTATTTAGAACTTATAATATAAGTTATATACACTTGAAATTAGAATTAAATATGAAATTCTTAATAGCATTGATGTGTGGATTGGTTTGTATTGTGAGCGCAGACTATCCTATAGAGGACTATAAGGCGGTCGCAAAGTCCCGGGACTTTACGGGGAAAGTGGTTCTCGTGACC